GCCCCGAGGTTTCGGCAAGGGGCGGCATAGAAATGTTATAATAATAAAAAAAATAATAATAATTCTAAAACCCCCCTCCCATGTTTTTAGACAATCTTCTAGCCCTATCAATGGTTTGAAGCCAGTTTCCATAATCTGGTGCCCTCTAGATATTTTGAACAGCCATTTACAGCTTTCCTGACCATCGGTTATGGTAACAGGAAGGGATCAGGTTGGGAAAGTCTGCCTAAAGAGCCCGGTGCTATCTGTGCAAGTTTGTGCAGTGCTGGACCTTCTTTTTTGTCCAAACCTGCACAGGATGGTGCCTTTAAGGATTTCTGGCACCTGGGTGCCTGCTACCAGAGCTCTCTCTGCAAGTCAAGAGACACACAGGCGTTTGTCGTTTGCAGGCCAAGAGAGCTTCGTTCTCACAGCCACAGTCTAGGTCAACAGTGTGCAGGAATATATTTAGCCCAGAACCACAGAGGGAAAAAATGTATTTACCAGTTTTGGAACACTGCACGCTAAGGAATCAACCGATTAGAGTAGGGCGATTCACTGGCCTTTCCACCCCACAAAATAACTCACTGGCTTGAAGGTGTCAAGGTCGTCTCAGTGTCTTAATATTTATTTGTGTCTGGCGGGGGTTTCAGGCCTTGTTCACTGTCTGACCCTGTTGGGTTAAAAGGACATGTGGACGATCCGTGTCTGATATGACTACGCTCAGGGTGCAGGGTTTTGAATCGCAGCTTTCCAAACCATAAAAGACAAGAGCGGCAGAATGACAGGCAGGTGTTTCCCTGCATGTTGCCCATCCCTGAGTGCCCTGCTACTGAATGAGCACTCTAAGGTTGCCTGTGTGGGTGACTTGAATTGGAGAGGAAAGGGAACCACCTTTATTAGGGCTTTCAACAGCCATTTGCACTCAGAGCATCAATCAAAGCAGTGGTTCCACACACCCGCTATTCACCAAGAAGAGTCCAGAAAAATGGCAGCTTTGGAAGACTCCCAAGCAAGTGGAACTCAGTGCCCTGTCTTCCTCCCCAGTTTGGGACCAGCATTTCTCCAGTTTGTCTCCAACATGGGGACTTTCTCCAGCCTTAACTTTGGTTCAGGTTTGGATCCAGGAGCTGGATCAAGGAAGGAGAAGGAAGGTACAACCGCTGGGATTGCTTGCCCTAGAAAGAAGGCAAGTAAGGGGAGACACGGCACAGATGTGCAGAATTGGGGTGGAGAAAAGGAAATTGGGGTGGAGAAAGTTGGGATGGAGAAAAGGAAGTGAAAGACATTCCTCTCCCTCACTGTGATACCCAGATGGGTCATCCCATGATGGGTGGGAGATTCAGGACAGATAAAAGCGAAGCCCTCTTCACATAGCACACAGTTAAACTCAAATTCTGTTTGTGGGATCCTGCAGGCAGCTGTGTGAATGCAGTGCTGGACTAGACGGACCCCGGATCTCACCCAGCTGGGCTGTTCTTGCATTCATCTCAAATGATGAGAATTTTTTTAGCTTGCTTAAAAATGCGTATTTTTCTGTGCCCATATTGCCTAATAGACATATGTGTGCATGCAGTTGCCTTTACAGAATGAACACTAGAACATTTTGAACATCATTTCCCCTAACACCCATTCTAAAAGGCATTTTTAATTGAAGAACTTCACAGAGATATTCAGAGAAGTATGTCCTTCAAAGGATATTGGAGTATTGGTTCATAAAGTACCACTTAGGCTCCAAAAGTGCAAAGTAAGGAAGTGAAAAATTAGGTCATTCTATTGAATTGCATTAAAATGGGGACGGGATAAATTTCTCCCCATTTTTTCCTCCCTCAGCAAGTCTCCCTTCACAAGGTTGTCACCAGCTACTTTTGGGCCTCTTTCTTCCCCTCCCTGCTTCTCAGGAGCTGGGTTCCCTCCTCCTTCCTTTCAAACAACAGACAGGTCTTTTGCACAAGAATGCTTTATTCCAACGTACAGCCAGCAAACTCTAGCCAGCAGAGGACGAGTCTTCATCAAACCCAAACTAGAAACTACTTCCATGTTCCCCCTTTTCAGCAATCCTGGGCTTCACCCTTCTGGCTGTGCCCCTCTGAAAAAGGGCTGGCCAAAAGAAAGGGCCAGCCCTTTAACTGGGCTTTCTCAGTGCCGCTTCAGGGGCTCTTGGACTCGCCACGTTCCTTTCCCATGTCCCCTCCCTGCTCTTCCGGACCCTGTTTGTCAGAACACCTGGAGATGGCGGCCTTGAGATAATCTCGCCCTCCTCTGTCGCCACAGGATCTGCATTCCTTGTTTCCCAGCTGTCACTGTCCTCATCCGAAGAGTCGCGGTCGCCGAAAGCAACTGTCTGTCATTTGCAACACTGGCTTGCAGAGTGCCAGGGAACGAGTGACAAGCTGCACCCCCTTCTCCTCACCCCTCAGACCTGGGCAGGAAAACATCCTGGTTCCATCGGGAAAGGGGCTTCAGATAGCGGGCTCCTCATGGGGCCATGGGTTCGCATCCTAAGTCTCGATTCTGCCCCCGAGCCAGAACTACCCAGAAGGTAGGCTGCGTATGCCAGATGCTTTAAAAATCAGCACTGTCTTGCTCCTGGCCACATCCCCCTAGTGCGTTTTCATATTCACAATTTAAGTTTTGAAGAGCACGCTTAAAATAGCCGTGTATTTAAGCATGAGCACCATTGCCAGAGGTGATAAAAGAATTCCATGCAAGGATGGAGTACTCCATTTCTTCTCTGTGGCTTGAACAAGAGCCAGATGGGTCGCTAGAGGACTGAACCCCCTTTCTGTGCCTCCAGCACAGAAATATGATGGAATTCTACAGCAGAGATAAGACTATCCATACCACCTCTGTCAGCCCCCTGCAGGCTAGCAAAATGCAAAATTATTTACAGGGTTGACTTAGGGCACAATCAAGCATATTAAGACAAAGGTCCTCCGACTCCCTTCAGTGTAAATGCACATAAGAGTCCGTAACATACGTTACACTCGTACTTAAAAGGTGTGAAAGGGTTTCTGGTGGTTCACTGGCAAAGGTTAAAACTGGACTGTCCATTTTATTTATTCATTTGATTAAAGCCCTTTTATCCCACTTTTTAAGCAAAAAAGCTCTCGGAGTAGCTGACACATAATTGGCAAAATACAGCAGTCTTTTTCTACAATATTACAATCCAAAAAGGCAAGGGAATAAAGAGGAATGGAGAGGCAAGAGGGATGTGGAAGAAGCAAACAAGGAGACGAGTAGCGAGAAGGGCTCGGCTGGGCTGACGGGGCCAACCAGGTCACCCAGGTGTAACTCGGGGCGACCCAGTGAGATGGCCTGTGGAGAAGATTGCTCAGTTTTCTCTTCCTAGTGGAACTAAGACTGCTCATCACAGACACCCAGAATGGAGGATCCTGCATGTGGAAGAGCAAAGATGTTCAAATGATCCTTTTCCAGTTGTGCTACTCACAAATGAGATTTAAAAAAAAAGCTGCTCTGTTGATCTGGCATTAGCGGCATGGTTTCAGGATGTAGCGCTTCATGACATACATGAATACCATTTAATCAAATGTACTTTGTATCAGGCTGTAACTTGAGAGTCAGGTGTGGCTGGCAGGTAATGCAGCAAGAGTTACGATGTGCTACGCATCCCCAGGGGGGGAAAACACTATTTTTCTTTGGTGATTTCTCCCCAACAGAGAAACAACATAAGATGCTTGTGTAGATCATTAAGAAAAAAAGCCCTGTTATCACAGGTGCTCACCTTTTTTACTTGCCAACATAAATAAATAATGTTGGAAAGAGTGTCCCAGAAATTGCTTCATGGTTCTGTTTATATAAAGCAAGCAGGCATGAATTATGTGGAAAATAACGCTAGTTCCCTGAAAAAATGAAGAAAAACACCAAAGAATTTAAACCTGATGATACAGAAGTTAGAAAAAGTTCCAGCACAGAGCTCTAGAAGTGCCTTCCTCATGTTTCTTTCCAGTCTTTAAGGAGGCAATCCTGTGCATGTTCAGGCAGAAAATCCTACATGCATAAGATTGTGCTTCAAGATCAGTTAGGAGTACTTTATATTTATGGCCTATCAAGCTGGAGCCAGCCCTTCCCCCTCAGATTTTGGCATGTTTGCTTCTTTTACACACTGGTACAACTGAGTGAAGGCTCTTCAGACAGACAGGTGATTAAGCCTTCAGTGCAGTGATGTTGAACTTAAAGCCCACGGGTTTAATTCAGTGTTGGGGAAGTTCTCGGACACATTCCGGTAAAAGGGAGGCAGTACCGAAGGTCCTGTGTGTTCCATGAAATTTATAAAGGTAAAGGTAAAGGTTTCCCCTTGACATTAAATCCAGTCATGCCCGACTCTAGGGGGCGGTGCTTATCTCCGTTTTGTAGCCAAGGGAGCCAGCGTTTGTCCACAGACAGTCTCCCTGGTCATGTGGCCGGCGTGACTAAACACCGAAGTGCACAGAACGCTGCTACCTGCCCACCAAAGTGGCACCTTTTTATCTACTTGCATTTGCATGCTTTCGAACTGCAAGGCTGGCAGGAGCTGGGACGGAGCAACGGGAACTCACCCCGTTGTGTAGATTCGAACCAGTGACCTTTTGATCAACCAGCCCAGCAGCGCAGTGGTTTAAACCACTGCGCCACCTGCAGTCCCTTATGAAATTTATATTCCTCAAGCAAAAGATCTTGGGTAGTGGATGATGAGCTTCCTTTCACAGTCTTTCCAGCTTCATAGAGCCTCTCCAGGTCATATGTACGCAGTCAAAACCGGTTGATGGCAAGATGCAACTTGCCAAGTTCCCTGGGATATTTTTTTCTGTGTGGTGGTCCTAGAAGAGACCCTAAAATGCTCTGCAGTGCTTGGGCATTGATTGCAGATCTGCAACGGTTCTTCAGAAGACTCATCGATGTGAAAGGGGTTCACATAAGGTAGGAACCGTGGAAGCTGCTGCTCAAAGGAGTCCAATGCATTGCCACCATGGCAAGCAGTGTATATACCTCTCTGCAGGAGCAGGATGTTTATGTGCCTAGAAATCCTGGTCAGAAGGTAGTTACTGTACCCATTCAGCGTGTGAATCAGAAGCTAGCTAAGTCTGCAGTCCACACACAGGTGCAGACATAGTGCCCGACTCTGGCTTCCCCAACTTGGTGCTTTCTGGAACAGGAACTCCCATAATGCTCAGCTCCATGGCTATTGCCGGCTGGGCATTATGGGCATTGTAGCCCCAACCCTTCTGGAGGGCACAAGGTTGTGGAAGGCTGGCCTAACTTAATACTACAGGTAAACACCTGATCCTGGGTGCTTTAACGGAGAAAGTTTCAGCTTCACACTGCTGCTTTCACACAGCCCTTTGAGCCTTCTGTTGGAAACTGACTGGCGACCCATGTGATGTTTACCAACGTGTGGCGCAGAGCTCATTGCCGGTTCCTCCTTATCACATGTTATGACGATTGCACTTGAATGAAATCTTATCAGACAACCACGATTGTTTTCATATATTTGCATATGTGCGTTAGCTTTATAACTTGTTTGCTATGCACGGCTATTTATAAGTGCTATCAGCCACTTGCTGGGACACCTTCAAAAGGGATGCCTTTCTGCAGGAACAGGAGTGCACACTGATCGCTCCTGCTTGAACCAGCATCAGGCTGGCAGATGAAAGGCAGCAGTGCGTGGCCCCTTGTCCCTGAAGAAGCTTCCCTCTGAGTACCGCTGGGTGTCCGTGTCCGACGGTGCAGACCTGGGGCCGACGACAGAGAAGTTCCATGAAGGTCAATAGCGTGACTCACAGAAGCCTTTTTTCTTTGGAAGTGCCGCATCCCCTTGGTTGCCTAGCCCTGAGCCCAGCAGGCACCTTGCCTAAATGCCCTTTCGATTGTACTGTATGAGGTTTCCGCAGCCAAACTGACCTTTCAGTTTCAGCAGAGAAGCTGTTTGCCCATGTTCGGTTACTGGCACCTGCCCATTTAGCAATTGATGTCAGAGCAGCCAAGCTGGGTGCTGGCCACGGCCTGTGTATATATCACATTATATAACTACACACTTAAAACTCATGCAGAAAAAGCCCTAATCAAGCCCTTGCAGAAGCATGAACTGCAGCCAGATTTCAAGTTCAGTGCCCAAATTCCCGGTTTTGCATCTTCTGACAATTCCAGTCACTGTTCACGGTCTTAGATGCAGCTGTCTTGCGCTTGTGTTGATTTTCCAGGTCAACATTATGGTTTGCATAATTTGACTAGTGGCCAGGCTGGCTGAGGCTGATGGGTGTTGGGAGCCAACAACATCAGAAGGGTGCTAGGTTGCACAGTCTTTTTAGACACATTGCAAAGCATCTGCTGATTTTTACTTGACCTCTGGAAAATCATGCGGCAGTCCAAGTACATAACCAACTTCATTACAGTGGCTGGGTTCTGGCAATACAATGACTCAGAAGTTGAGTGGGGTTCCCATTGTACCGTCAGTTGTTGAAACATGAGTTATCCTGTCAAAACCCAGCTCCACTAACCAACAGAGCAAGTCAGAAGTGACCTCCTGGGCCATCTAGTCGGACCTCTGGCTCCAGCCGGCGTCACTCATGACATGCCATGAAAACCATAGCTTGTTAACTATGAACAAGCCATGAAAACAACATGGTTTGTTATCTTAGAGGAGTTCAGACAACATGATAACCCATGTTGCAATGGTTTAGCAACAACCCACACTGAGCCTTTGTTTGAACCTAGTCACTGTGACAAGCAACACTGAGCTTTAAGTTCTAATATGATAGTCTTGAATTAACCCAAGAAACTGGGTTCTTTCTATGTTTCCCAAGAAACAAAAATTCATTAGATGCTTTTTAACTGATCAACAGCAACTTGGGAGAAATGGAGCAAGAAATAAAAGATTGCCATTCTATGGCACATGTCTCCTCTCCCTACCAAATGCAGAAAAAGCTTTCAAAACTTCAGTCCTAGAAGGACTGTTAGCATTTGAGGTGACCCAAAGTTAATCTCTGGTTTTGTAAATGGAAAGACCATAATGTTTCTCTTACTCTGCCTAACCAAGAACCTGCATGTTTTGTTTAAGGATTAAAGCTTCATGAACTGTATTTGGATTAAGTACAGTTGTTAAGATACTGCATTTGTTTAGGTGATGTGATTTTATGTTAATATGAGTAAGTGATTTTTTTTCACAGTGTATACTTTATTTCATGGAACTATTTGGAAAGCTTCAATGAATGCAATGACCTTGCTAGATTTTGTATCTTAGATGTTCCTTAGCCATTTGAGCTCAATTTCATTTTTGAATGGAGGTTGAAATTTGTGACCTATTTAGGTCATAAACATTTTATTTATTTATTTATTTATTTTTCGATTTCTATCCTGCCTTTTTCCTACAAAGGGCTCAAGGCAGCTTACATCTCCTCCTCCATCTTATCCCCACAACAACAACCCTGTGAGGTAGGTAGGGCTGAGAGTCTGTGACTGGCCCAAAGTCACCCAGTTGGCTCCATGGCTGAGCGGGGACTCGAACCCGGATCCTCTGAGTCCCAGTCCCATGCTCTTAACCACGACACCACACTGGCTGTCTTTAAAATCACTTTTAAAACAATGTAAAGTCTGGAGACAGAGCAGAATTAGTACTAAGCTTTGTGTTTCCAAAAGTGGGAGTGAGACATTGCCCCCTTGTCCCCTAATCATGGGTGTAACCTGATAGCTGCAGCTCCATAGTTTGCAGTCTCCATCTTGAGACAATTCCTGGGTTTACACAAGACAACAAGCGATCCTTCATGATTACCTCAGTTTGCAGTTTTTTACCAAGCTCTATCTGTCATGCAATCAAATGGTGTCTATGTTATCATGGTTTCCATCCTCATTGTTTAGTCCTTCCACTGTTGACGCATAACCATTGACCACTGCATCTAAAATTCAATCCCATGGTATATCTCTCCCTGTCTGTGTTGCCTGCCTCTTTCTCATTGGGCTGCACGTAGAGAGTGGATGGCTGGAGTGGTTCCAGTTGCCACTCTTTCCAGGGAACTCTGTGGTATTTGCATACCAGGACCATGGAAACCATGAACCTGGACTCAGACAACACTATAAGCCATGGTGGCATAGAGAAGTCATGGAGCAAACCATTATTTCTTAACCTGGTTTCTAAAGAACAAGCAACTGGGTTCAGACAACACAACAGACAAAAATGGTAAAAAGGAAGAAAGGAAAGACGGAAGGAACCTTTACTTCTCGTGTCTTCTCCTATTAATGATCAAAACTTATTGTGCAGCTATTCTGCCTTCCCCTTCTTAATAACCTTTCTAATGCAAAGAAAGTAGAAGACGATGTGGAAGAGCATAGGAGGACTACAGATGGAAAATACAGATGGAAACACTGGACCCCATCTGTGACTAAAAAGGGAAATTACATCATGAAAGTAGCTCCCTGAATCTTGAAGCACTTTCAGTCTAAACATAGTTCTTAACAGTTATGTCTTGCAGCCTATTTTGTTCTTGTCTCCCCATCTTTTCCTCATGCATTATGTAGCAACCAACCTGATGAAGAATTTTGAAGGATTCCAAAGCTTACTTATTTTCTGAGATGTTTATTCATTTAAAACATTTCTATGCTGCCCCCATCACAACAAAGCCTCGGGGCAGCTCACAAAAATACAAAAAAACATACATAAACAATAACTATATAACAATTTAAAAGAAAAAAAACATTTAAAACCCCCGGTGCATTCTCGGCTAATTTAAAATCCTAATAAATACAATAATTTAGCAATTAAAATAAGTTTTAAATAAAAAGGTCTTCGCCTGACGCCGAAAAACAA